GTAAAGTAATACCTAGACGCACACGCACGCACGCACGCACACGCACACACGCAGACACAAGACCTTTTTGTAAGACGAACGACGAATCAATTTTTTTTTTTTTTTTTTTTTTTTTGTTATTTAAAAACAAGAAAGACTTACGATCGTCACAAATAAATCATCTTTCTTAAATACCTATCTTTAACGAAACAAAACCTGACCTCCTTTCCGTGCGTCGCAAGAATGTTTGAACTTTGTTCCTCGTTTGTTTCGATCCTTTTCTCTTCGGAACTTTCGTCAAATGTTGAATTTGTTTCATCACAATTTAAAACCAAATCATTTTTACTCAATGGAGATTCGTCGCCCTAAAAAAAAAAAGCAAAAAAAAAAAATTTATAAAACGTCATCAGGCAAATCAAACCGGAAAAAGAAAAGGGCGCGATTCTCACGTGACAGGCATTTTCATCAACCGCCCGGGGTTTTTTTGCCATCGGTCCCGATGTCGTTTCCGCCATTTTCCTCTTTTTATTTTTCTCTTGAACCCCTCCGTTTTTGGAACCCGGCGAAGCATTCGGTGTCGTATTTAACTAAAAAATTACAAAAAGGAAAAATTTTAAACGACTTGCGAAATGAAAAGGGGGGGGGGAGGGGGGAAAATTTAATTTTTTTTTTTTTGCCAACGTACTCGTTTTTCTTTCTTAAGAACGCTCGGCGACAAATACGACGTTAATTCTTTCCTGAAACGATGCGAAAAAAAAAAAAAAAGCTTTGAATAATGAATCTTATATCAATGTTACAAATAATGTAAATAATCCTTTTTTTTTTTCTCTCTCACCTTTTGACATATTTCGCTACGACTTTCATTCCTTCCTTCCAAATGTTACTAGCTCTAGCTTGCCTTACCACTGAAAAAAAAAAATTAAAAAAAAAAAAAAAACGATAAAACTTTTTGTCAATAAAAATTATTTCAATTTTTTTTTTTTTTTTCCCCTTTTCACCTGTATCAGTAAAAGACATGATATCATAAGTAAGATCAACGTTTAAATTTCCCGTTTTGGCAAAAACAACTCCGATAAACCACATTGTGCATAAAACGTTTGAATCGGGTTCTTGAGGTTGCTGAAAACTATCCGGATTAACATGAGCTAAATTAATATGATGATTTCGTTCCAAGTTTCCAACGAGCAACCTTATTTTCGATTCTACCAGTCCGCACCATTCTAATTGATCCTCCGGTGAATTTGAAGATAATAATAAAACGATATAATGCCTAAAAAATCGGTTTAGAAAATAAGCTTTTTTTTTTTTTCCGTGGTAAATCCTAATTATAAAAAAAAAAAAAAGCATTATTTTTACCTATATTTCGAAAAAAAATGAGACGTTTCAAATAATTTTTCCCAACCGCATTTTCCCAACATTATGTCCTCGGTTATGGACAAACCTAATTTTAATTCATCTTGCATTATCGATCGCGTCGAAAGCGAAACGTTAAATGTTGAATTTTGTTGAGGATATGCTGGAGTTATAATTGGCATTAAATGATATCTGTCCGAAACGTTGACCTACAATTAATTATACAATAAAAGAGAGTAATTACAGTAAGTTTTAGGTTCGAACAAAAAAAAAAAAAAAAAATTTACCCTTGGATCCCAAACTGGAAAATTTAAATTGAGAGTGTCAGGTTGTTTCAAAAGTACCGGTTGAGGCCATTTCCATTTTGAAAAAACAAGGAAAAACTTATGAACAAGCGTGGCAGCAACAGCGTTCGGATATAACTGACACGTTCTAGCAACTAACATTGCCCAAGAAACACCTCCTAAATATCCTAAAGCATTACTGTAAACTCGATGCTCTAAAAAAAAAAAAAACAAAAGGTATTTGATAGTAAGTCAAATTATTATTATTATTATTATTATTATTATTATTATTATTATTTTGTTTCTCTCTACAAAAAGCAATATTTTTTTTTTTTTTTACTTTTAGCCCATAATTTAATAACTCTCAAAGCCAATCTGAAATTTTCTTTGTTGGGAACCAGCCTTAAAATTTCATCTGTTACTCTACAGCCATTTAGACTTCTCACACATTTTTGATCGAGATTTTTCAGTAAATAATCATCTTTTAAATCCTGAAAAAGTTTAAAAATGAATGAATTAAAAAAAAATTTAATTTTTATAAGAAGTCATAAATTAAACTTTCCTTAACTTTCAAAGAATCAAAAAAAAAAAAAAATAAAAACTCAAATCGACAACTGTTCAAATGGCCTCACTTAAAAAAAAAAGAATAATCGGAATAATATTTACCATATCATCAGGTATTTCTTTTAGAGCAAGTCTGGCAAATAATAAATCTATTTCAATACCATCGAAATTCATTTTAATAACTGGAACAAATGCATTTTCTACTGATCGTAATTGACTAACTTCTTTTTGCTCTTTAAGTAATTCATAAAAAGATGTGAAATAATCTGAACGATCAATGTGTCTCGGAGCAACACATAAAGCATCAATATCAGCACCTTTTTGATGAACTCCTAACCTGTACGAGCCAAATGTGTATATTTTCCCCCCAACTTGCTCGGCAACATTTTTAGGCATATTTTTTTGATTAACGCTTATGTCAATGATCCATTCTTTAACCAAATTGTTTAATTTGCTTAGTACTTCCATACTAAAATATTAAATTTAAATTAATTCAATGTCTTACAGTTAGAATATGCATGAAATTTAAAAAAATATTTTGTACCGAAAGTTCAACTCGGCATCACTCTCAAAAACATTAAACGGTTTTAGCGCTTCTTCAAGTTCTTTCGTCTTTTGAATATCGCTAATTTTAGGCAATGCTAAGCTAATAGCAGAAGTTACCCCCAATGTTTTAGGAGGTGGTTGTTGTTGTTGTTGTGATTGTTGTTGAGGTTGTTGTTGTTGCTGCTGCTGCTGTTGCTGTTGGGGAGGCATTTGAGATGGCCACATTATTACATAAAATTTAAAAAGTTAATTTGATGGGATCTGTCTGGACTTTCATCTTTTTCCTTCCATTTCAGTTTTCAAATTGCACTGAAACATGCCTACTAAAAAAAAAATTTTTTAATTTTTTTTTTTTTTTTTTTTTTTTACATTGTGCAATAATTATGATAATGATAAAAAAATCATAAAAACTTTTTAAAATAAATTTTAAATTATAAAAAATTGTAAAGACAATCACACAAGCATTGCGTAGTTACTTAAATTTTAACAAGACATATACTTAATACCTTTGATATTGTAAAAAAAGTGTTATTATCGAATTATTATTAACTTCTAAGATTCAAAACCCATATAATACCAATTAAAAAAACTAGTACGATAAAATATCCTGGAAATTATCCAGGAAATATTATTTACAACGAAATAACATGAAAAATTGTAAAAACACATGTATGTAAAGCATCATTAAAAGTTCAAAAAAAATAATTGAAAATTATAAATTGTACAAATTAAAATAAATTTTGTTTCTTTTTGTTTAAAACTCTTTTATTTAATGAATCGATAACGTTTCTAGTTGATAAAATTTAATTATTAAAAGTAACAATATCAAGAAATATACAAAAACCATTTCCTGGAATTGACACACCGTAATAAAATTTTACATTCGTAAAAGAAATCACGTTTTATAATTAATTAATTATTAAAATAAACTTACTTGATAATGCAGTAAATACGTTAACACTAAAATATTAGTTCAGTAACAGTGGAAAACAAATTTTATAGATGGAACAATGATTTCCACTGCACTGAAAATGGCGTCACAAGCATAATAACCATAGAGCTAAATTCAAGTCCGTAAAAAAAAAAATAACCATAGAGCTAAATTCAAGCCCGTAAAAAAAAATAACCATAGACGTATAAAATAAAACTTGAGAAATTTTTTTTGTTTGTTTTATTTATGAATGTATTATTATTATTATTTTTTTTTTTAAATAAATTATTTATAAATTTATGGCAGTGTTTTATATTTTTAAAATTTAATAAAAAATTTACAGGTAGGGTAAAAAAAATAAATCTTTTTTTTTCGAATTAAAAAAATATTTTACATAAAATTAAACAACAATACTTAAAAAATTTATTAATTTAATATCAAATAATTATTTCTGTCATTATTCCAATACAAACTATTGTTATTATTATACTTATTTATTTAAGTAAACATAAATTTTTTTTTTATGGATAAATTTAATTTGAAATTAAAAAAAAAAAAAGCATTAAAAAATAAATGAATTGCATACGTATTATCAGTTGATAATGAAATGTTTTATAGAATTTTAACAATTTATAAATATCTCATTTATTATGAAGTTGAAAAGTAAACAATTCATTGTACTTTAACACAAAAATTTATGTTTATTAATTTTATTTTTGATTACAGTCATTGACCATTAGCAATGACATATTTTTTTGTATTATTTTATAAAATAAAAATAATTTCATTTTTATAAATTTTATAACAAAATTAGTTAAAATATTATTAAATAATAAGCTCATCACTTGTGATTGTCTTAAATTTTGTGTGTCCTACGTTTTATCATTTATTAATACTGTTTTATATTCTTTTTTAAATTTTATTTAAATTATAAAAAATTCAAATAAGTGAATTTTAAAAGTTGTCGATAAAATTCAATTGTGGTAATTAATGAACTTAAAATGTGTTTTGATCGATAGTTAGATATTCGAGATAAGATATAAAATTATTAATTATATATTATTATTTTTTTTTAGATTTATTTTTTTTGAAACAATGGATTTAATAAAATTTAAATTTTTCAATATTGTTAAAAAAAAAACTACAGTAAAATAAAACAAATATTATAAATACTACTACTACTGCTTCTATAGGTAAGTTTTTTTTAATTTAATTTCTTTTGTAAATATGAAATACCAAATAATACTGAAACTAAAAAGAGTGTGAATTCAAGGCTTGTTTGAATCGATTTAACATTTATTATCATTACTCTGATATTGTTTCATAATTAGTCATAATATTATTATATTTTCAGTTTTCATATTTTCAGTTTGATTTCGAATGACTTGATAAAATTAAACAATACAAAAATGACTACTGAAACAAATAACGAATTAGACGATGATAGAATATTAGAAGAGTCTTTAAGGGAGAATGCATTTTCTGGATTCGATGAAAGATTGATAGAAGAAGAAAGTCTGAAAAGGAAATTGAAATTTTTTTACATGAATCCAATTGAAAAATGGAACAGTAAGAGAAGATTTCCATTTAAATTATTAATTTTAATAGTAAAAATCATTTTAGTGACCATACAATTGTGTTATTTTGCACATCATAGAACGACATTTATAGATTTTATGTTTAGTAATAAGATATCGTTTTGCCATTTGTTTCTAAGCGGATGGGATGCGACGAGAGAAGTAATTGCATACCCACCTCAATCGGGTGATTTGGCCATATATAAAATATCTGACTTTTATACAGTTATAGACTATGCCGTTATAAATTATGCCAATTTAGATGATGCAATAGGTTCCTACAAATATCCTAATAACAGTAGCATGGGACACATTCAAATGTGTTTAAAATTGAAAAATGGTTTGAACGAAAGTGATAATTGCAAACATTATAATTGTTATAATTTGAATGATTTTCAAATTCGAGTCGAATGCTTAACAATAATTGTCACAAAAGAAAATTCTAAAAATTTTTCAATTAAAAATTATTTCGATGAAAATAAAATAAAACTTGAATTTTCATCATTGATTGATGCCACTCTTTCGTTTGAAATAAAAACTGTGCATTCGAATTTGATTTCATTAAACTGTTTTAGTTTTAACATAAGTATTAAATTTGACAATAAACACAATTCTGGACAAATGAAATATGATCTTACCTTAAATATAAAAGGTTTAAATTGTGACAAAAAGTATTTCAATCCCCCTTATTCGATTATAATCAGTTTTTTAAATTTTTCCGTTATAATCATTTGTTGTTTATCGATTATTTTATGCGTGAGATCTCTTTTAAGAACTCAATACCTTAAAAAGAAAACAATTTATCATTTTAAAAAATATTACAGTAGAAATGTTAGCTGGGAAGGTAGAATGGAATTTTTTAATCCATGGTACGTTATTATGATATTCGGTGATGTATTAATACTTATAAGTTTGGTTTTCAGGTATAAAATAGAAGAAGATGAATTTTCAGGTGATGAATTAAACATGTGCAGTTTAATATTAGGCTGTGGTAATTTTTTAGTTTGGTTCAGTTTGCTTAGGTATTTATGCTTTTTCAAAACTTACAATGCCATCATTTTAACGTTGAAAATGGCAGCTCCAAATATATTTAGATTCATGGTGTGCGTTCTTCTCATATACTCGAGTTTCACATTTTCCGGTTGGTTGATATTGGGTCCCTATCACATGAAATTTCGAACACTTTCTGGTACCTCCGAATGTTTATTCGCATTGATAAACGGCGACGACGTTTTTGCTACTTTTAACACATTGCAACCCACGGATTCGAAAACTATATGGTATTTCTGTCGGATATACCTTTACGTTTTTATATCTCTTTTCATATACGTTGTCCTATCTCTGTTTTTATCCATCGTCGAAGGAGCTTACGAAATAATAAAACAATCCGGTAAAGATGGATTTCCTAAATCCGACATAAAAACATTTATTGAAACTTCATCGAATAATTCTTTGCAAAGTTTAGCATCATCTTCATATCCGGATTGCACTCTTATTTGTAATGCGGATAATTTGAAACTGAAAAACATAACGGCAAAAATTTGTTGTTGTCAGAGCCTTCTTAAAAATCCTAGAACCTAATTTTAACGGAAAAAACGCGAAAGAACGGATGTACGTCATAATCGAATGTAGAACCGTTAAACTTTTTTTTTTAAATAAATAATGGTTACCTTTTTTAACAAGCCAAATTTATTATTATTTTTTTTTTTTTCGTTTGTTAATTTATATTTTATGGGGTATAAAAAAAAAACCGAGTTGAACTTTATCTCTAATATTATTATTATTATTATTATTTAATAATATTTGTATTTTTTTCTTTTTTCTTTGACTTTATTTTATGTTTTAAAATATTTAATAATAATTAATTTAAAAAAAAATTAAAAAAATTTCAATAAAATGCAAAATTAAAGCACAATTTAAAAAAAAAAAATACTTATAACAATAATTATTATTTTTTTAATATGTGAAAAATAAAAGTCTGTTAATTAATTAAAATTAATATTAATAAATATATATATATATATATTTATGTATTAAAATTTTTATTTTTAAAATGAATATAAAATGTTTATTACAATTTTAACATTGTTTAAAATGTTATTATATCCATCATCAAATGAAAATCCTTATTGAATAAATCTTTTGATTTTTTTATAAAAAAAAAGAAAAGTTCTTTGAAATTATTTATTATGGATGTTTGCAGTTAGCAAACGATTGAAAAACCAAATGAAACAAAAAAAAAAAAAAAAAAAAAAAAGAAAACTTATATTATATTATGAGGAGCTGTAATTATGTGCGTACTGTTTGTAACGCATTTATGACTCGAAACTGGAAAAGCAATAATGGGATTATTTTGAACGCCTCCAAACATGATAAGTTCTCCTCTTCCGAGTACCAAAGAATGAAGCATATTTTCTCCAGGAGCATTTGGATTACTTTTTTGGGGCCTCCAACTAACGCAAGCTTTTTCCGTTAAAACTTCGGATATGTCCATCACGTACATGTTAATTTTATTATTAGAATTTAACGAACCTCCCGGTGGTCCCGGATTCGGATCCTTTGAACCGTTATTTTTTCCATTTGTTTTCTTTTTATTATCATCTTCTTTGAATGAATTTTTATATTTTTCTTCCATTCTTTTTAAACATTCTAATTGTTTTAAACGATTTTTAGATTTTAAATTTTGATCGCGAAAAGCAGCCATTTGAAAGTCTACGTTCATTCTTGAGGAACAATTTCCACTTGAATGTGGTTCGCAATCTTGATACACCGGTTTGGGATAATTTTTTTCTATGTTTTGAACAGGAGAGGAAACTGAATTTCCTCCTAAAATTGTTATTATTATTATTATTGTAATAAACACGAATAAATTGAATTAATAAATACAAACAGACATAATGAATGCATTCATCCCTAATCGAATCACACTGTGTGTGTGTGGTTTTAAAACAAATTATGCAATAAATAGTGAAATAATATCATTCAAAATCATTAAAACTTACCAGAAGAACTGGAAGAACTAGTTCCAGGCTCGTCCATTGATTTATTTATTTTACCTAAACTTCCTCGTTTGCCATTCACATTTTTATCTTTAACATATGGAAGCATACCATGAGATGTTCTAAAAATAAATTGTGCTTTATTGTAATTGCACAAAGAGAATAAATAATTTGAATTATCATATTATCAAACTTACACTCTAGATACAACATCTGGAGGTATTGAATTATCCATTAGTATTGATTCATTATCAATATTTGAGCTTGAAGAATAATGAGAAACACTTTGAGATGTTCCACGACTAAGAACTACAACAACATCATCAACTTTGCAGGCTGGATGACACCATAAATGAGGAGCAGCCCACTGTGGATTATTAACTTTTAACTGTTTCCATACCCATACATTATCAGTTATTGTTAACAACCAAACATCGTCTAAAATTGAATTAGGACCTTCGCAACCTCCTGAAAAATAAATTACAAAAAAAAAAAAAAAATTTTTTAATTTTAATTCGATTTCTCCTAAACTTTTTTTTTATGTTCAGAAATGTTTATGGTAACTAACCAATTATAAGAAAATTATTATTATCTATGTATATCTGAGATTGGCCATATCTTGTTTTGGGTTTAGGATCTGTTGTTTCAGGTTGGCTCCAGCATTCTGTTTCAAAATTATAGCACCATATATGATTTGAACTTGAAAATTTGAAAAAAAAAAGACATTTTCTATTAAAAAATATTATCAACTGTGAATTTCATTCAAAAGTTTTTAAATATTAACCTTTTGTATAAGAACATAGTATCACCCCTTTGTAAACCACCAAATACAACCATAACATTTCCATGAATGGTTGCGGAATGACCAGCCATTGGAGGAGGTGAAATTGTCGAATGAAAAACTGACCATTTATTTGAAGTAGTATTATAAATGTGAAGTTCATTAAATAATTTAAGTGTCTACAAACAAAATTCAAAGTGAGCTAATCAATAAAATTATAAAAAATATTTCATTGCTATATATATATATACCTGATGAAGTGGATAAGAAGGAGGATGAGTCCAACCTCCGAATAAAACTAAACTTTTATTATATCGACAAAGAGTTGCACAAGCCTTTGGTGATGGATAAGTTCCAGTAGCATTAGGCCTAAGCCATGCTTTTTTATTTAAATCTAAAGCCCATATATCATTAAAAGTGGTGCATCTTGGTGTACAACCACCAAATACATACATAAAATTATCTGAAAAATATAAAATAAATTAAAAAAAAAAAAACATAAAATTATACTTATTAATAAAAACTAAAAGAAATTTATGAAGGTAATTTTAAATAAAATTTTTAGGATAAATTACTTCTTAGTAAAAAAAAAAAAAAACTCACCACAGTAACAAGCTGCATGAGAATACCTTTTGGTAATAATTGAATCTGAATTAGAAGGAACAAGGGATTGCCATAAAACATCAGAATTTAATACGGATCTGTATAAGGCGCATTTGGCATGATGTCTTACATCTAAACAAATAAAACAAAAAAAAATTTAATAAAAATTCATTAAAAAACATAAATATAAAAATTTTCTTAAAACAAATAGTCTTACTATTAACTGTTCTCCACCATCTTTTACTAACTAATTTACAAGAATCAGAATCATAATAAGGTGAAATCAAACTTAATATATATTCTAAAACTTCATCTGGTAAATCATTTATATTTTTCCCCCCTAAATTTTCCAAAGGTGAAATTATTTCCATTGAAAAATAAATAAATAAATAAAAAAAATTAAAAAATTTTATTTTATTTTATTTTATTATTTCTTTTTCGTTGAAAAAAAAAAATTAATTAATTGTTTAATTAAAATACTATTTTTTAAACATTAAATTTTGATAAATTATTCTTATCATAGCTAAAGTCAGCCATTAAAATTCCACTGACCTCCTACATGTAAACAATAAAAATAAGATGGCTGCGAAAAATTCCGACGCCATTAAAATCCGTAAAACCAAAAAATTTTAGTTTTTTTTATTTATTTATTTATTTAATTATTTAAATTAATCATAACAAATTATAATAAACAAATAAATAATAAAACAATTAATCCATACATAATTATTATTATCACATTTTGCGACGGGGAAACAAAAAAAATAAAAAAATAATTATTTATAATTATTTTATTAAGAAAAAACAAATAAAAATTATTAATAACAGACAAAAAAAAAAAAAAAAAACGGTACACAATAATAATAATAATTTATATATATACGTCACATGAAATTAACTAGATTTTAAAAAAGTATTAATAATAATAATAATAATAAAAAAGTTTTTCTCACTTAAAGACTAGATTTTATATTTGTACTTAGGAAAATTGTAATTTTAAAAAATTTTATTACATTTCTCTATTTTATTGTACAAAAACAAAAAAAAAAAAAAACTCAAAAAGAATTAAGAAAAAGGCATTAATTGTAATTACAATACATAAGTAAATTGTTATTAAAAATATTAATAATAATAATAATAATAATTCTAATAATAATAATACGTACAACATTTTTTTTTTTTTTTTAAATGATAACTATACTTTTTTAACTATTTAAAAATATTTATTTTTTATTTTTAATAAATATCTTTCAATAAATATATTATTATATTAATTTTATTTTTTTTTACATACACGCACACGCACACACACATATTTAAAATGATAATAATAATAATAAGTAAATGTGATCCCTTAAAATAAATAATTTTCTTTCTTTTTTTTTGATAACAAACAAACTTTTTACAAAATTTTAAGTATTTTTAAATCTTTTTTTTTTTTTTATATTAAAGCAAAATTATTATTTAATTAAGTAAATTTTTTTTTCTCGTTTTCATTTTTCCTCCCCCCCCCCTTCCTCCTCTTCGTCCAAAACAAAAAAAAAATTTGAAATAAAAATTAAAAGTAAAAGCCGCAACAAAAACAACAAAAAAAAAAAAACAAAACAAAAAAATTTAAAAAAATAAATAAATAATCGTTTTCGATTGATATATATATATATATGTAATAAAACACCGGTTAATGATTCAATTTATATTATGTACATAACAATAATAATAATAATAATAATAATAAAGCAAAAAAAAATTATATGTACAAATTGCATTCGTGAGATCTTTTACCGTAAGAATATACATTAAATAACAAAATGACCAGATGATGATGATTCTTCTTCTGCTGCTGCTTTTGCCATTATTATTATTATTATTAATATTACTACTACCACTACTACTACTACTACTACTCTTTCTGCTAATTGTAAAATAAAATGAAAGACACTAAATTTAAAAAAAAAAAATAAATGGTGATAAAGTACAAGAAATTGGAAAAACATAAACTACTCGTAATAAATCGAAAAATTTTTTAAGTACAGTTCATTTTTTTATAGAAATAATAATAATAATAATAATAATCGAAATGAAATCGATGTTTCTAACCCTGCTTGAATATATGTATTGTGTGAGAGAGAAAGACAGACAGAGAGAGAGAGAGAAAGAGAAAAATTTATTCGCGTTTTTATATATATTGCTCGAAACCGCGTTTTGTTTAAAAAAAAATTCATTCATTCATTCATTCATTACGAGGTGGCGGTGGCGGCGGCGGTGTGAGATGTTTCCAATAATAATTTCTCCCGAATAAGAGATGCAATCTTTATTCCAGGTTTCCCGAACAAAAAAGGTCAGGATTCGTAAATTAAACGTTGATAATGTGGGAAAACTTCCCACGTGGGAACGTGAAGACCGAATTCCAATGCGACGAGCACTGCAAATTCCGATGCTATCAATTCTTTCCTATTGAGCCTGAATATATTTTCCGTCCTCTGCAACAAACAAACAAACAAACAAACATTTATTACCGTACGATTCCCCGCCCTCCCCCCAGCTCTCCCCATCATTAGTATAAACTTACTTCGATGATTGATTTTAAATTTTCTCCTTTGACGTCGTTTAATTTCGCCGAAAGTAACAAACACGCTCCGGCGCAAAGTTTACGATTTTCTTTGTTTATCAAATTTCGCAATATTAATTTTTCGAAATACACGTAACTTTGTGCCACGGCAACCAAATCCAAACCGCTTTCGGTTTTTGCTATTTTTTTCATTTCCCTTTTCAAAGATCTCAATTTGCTCAGTGTGAGTTTGACTCCGGGAAATTTTTCGCGAAATTTATCGTTGAGTTCTTTTTTAAGATCCGCCGGACGAACGTAATCGATGACGGATGTCTGAAAAATAAAAAATATTATTATTATTATTATTATTATTTTGTTTGTTACTTCTTTCGAATCTTTATTAACAACAACAGCAATTGCAAAAATAATTGGGGAAAAAAAAATGCTAATGAGAAATAATTGTGTAACATTAACGAGCACTAATTAATGGCGAATTTAAAAAACTCGCGACACACAAAACTTTTGTGAAAGAAAATTTTTTTTTCTTCCTTCTCCTCCTCCTTTTTTTTTTTTATTAATTATTATTAATCCATATCGTTTACGAATTACGGACTTGTCAATCCCTGCTTCAATAATAATTTAAGGAAACAGAAAAAAGATTTGCGTTATCATTACCATGTACGACGTAAACGTTAACAACGTTCTATGTTTTCCAGCAATGAGTTCTGGATCGTCCAACAAATGGGGATGATATTGTGGCAATGGAGAATGAGTTAGAGAAGATGTATCGTCCCAATCGAAACCTGTACAAAAAAAAAACCAAATTTAATTTTTTTTTAAACAAAAATAATCGCGATGGAGAACAACAAAATATACCAAAAACTTACTTTTACCATCCGAATGCTGGAGAGGAGGCGGAGGAGATGCAGATGTGGCAAATGACGTTGATTTATGAGTAGTCGAATCGTAAGAAAAACACCTAAAAAAAAAAAAATTCGAACCCGTACAAAGGCGAAACACTAACGATTATCATAATAATAATAATAATAATAATTTAAAATCCTGTATTTAACGCCTGAGAATAAAACGCGATTTTAAAATATTTCTTTTACATTTTTTTTTTTTTTTAGGCGGGAATCATTTGTGAATTCGACTTTCAACTCGAAAAACCTGTAAAAAAATATTTATAAGACTTTTAAAAATTTTTAAATTACTCTTAAATTAATCTGACAAATTTTTTTTTTTTTGTCCTTTTGGTAAGTTAAATAAATTAAAAAACGCGAAAAAAAAATGTGTGACGAATCGACCAAATGCAAAACCTGCACGTAGTTATGACAAAAAAGAAAAGCTTTTCGTCTTCTTTTCTACAAGAGACAAACAGTACAAAAAGCAATAATAATAATAATAATTGTAATCGAATTAGCAAATAATTTATAAGTTCATTGGTCAAGGCGATCAACTCGACAGGATTATTATTATTATTATTATTAAAAAAACAAGTCAAAATTTGCATATTTTCGATTATGAGAGATTCAACCGTTTTTTTATCATTATTATTATTATTATTTGACGATCGATGACAAACTACCGAAAATATTTATTATTATTATTATTATCATTTTTCTAGAATTTTACCTAAGAGTATAAAGCTAAAGCTAAAAAAAAAAAATCAATGATCATCGATTCATGCAGCAAAAGGAGAGAAATGACGTCACGAAACCAAAACAAAACAAAAAATTGTCTTTACGTCATCGATTATTTATAAAAAAAAATTCATGGCTCGTTATTATTTTAAATAATAAATCATAGAAATCGATACGATATGAAACAATCGATTAAACCATAATAATAATACTATTTTCAAGTCAAAATAAAAAATTAATAATCGATCAAAATCACTACTGACAATCGACTAATATCTACCACGCATTCAAAAACAAAACAAAACTAATAATAATAATAATAATAGCACTAATAAGTTTATAAAAAAGAAAAAATTTCTACGAGAAAATCAAACTTTTTTTTAATTCGTCTTGTTTTTTACCATTTTTCCGGATGCTGCCACGTGAAAACTTTTGTCCAGCTAAAAAAACGAAAATTTTTTTGCTTTTTTTTGTCTTCGTTAAAATTAATTTTTTCATTTGAAAAAAAATAGCTGAGGGTTTTATAAATAATCAATTATTATTTCGTAATGAAATTTAATTTGTTTACATAATTTTTTAAAAGGTTTCAATTAAATTTATTCGTTCATTCATTCATTCATTCACTCACTCATCTATTCATTCAATTGGAATTGAAAGTTCATCGTCGTTTACCTGGCAATGAGATGATGTTTGCTCGCGGGACTATCACCGAATTCGCAATCCGACGAATATAATTTCCTGTCTCTGAAATAATGTTTAGACGGTACCAATAATTGACCGTACGACACTTCTTGACCCTCTTGACTTCTTTCCAAACCAAGAAGACACCACGGATCGGCACCATCGGCTATGGAAGACAACGGCCTGGGCCCAGAAGTGTTTCTCCTTCGCCCGCCATCTTTTTTTATTTCACTTCTTTAAACAAAACAATCAAGTTTATTATTATTATTATTATTATTTGTTGTCGTGGAAAAATCAAACGTCACTCAACTCACCGTCCGGTTCGACAAGTTTTATTATAGGGAAGTGAGGAAAAAACTACGATGGGCATTCTTGAGCTTGAAACAATTACCAGTCTTTCATCTCGCTCTCTGAACGATTGACCTTTAACGGGATAAACCATTCGTATTTCGTTCGATCGCGGCTGTTCAGGTATGGCTATGGGAGTCTGTCGTCCGGGTGCTCCGCTATTTCTACCCCCCAAACTTTCGTTGCTGCTGAAAGGACCAGCATTGTCCTGATGAAAAGAACTCTGATGACCCAATGGTCTTTTCTTATAACTCAAAGAATTGAATCTCCTATCGAATGAATGATCGCTCCCTCCCGTTCCCGTCCTATATAAAAATATATTTAAATATAATTATTATAAACAACCGATTTTCGGGACCCTCCCCCTCCCCCGCTCCTCCCCACATCGACTTCTCATCAAATTTTCTTTTTTTTTTTTTTTTAAACTCTCGAGTGAATCATTAATTAATTACACGATTTGTATTCAATTTGGAAAAAAAAAAAAAAAATTTCCATTTATCCTAGGTCATGGATTTCAATAATAATAATAATAATAATAAAAGATGGGTAAAAACCTTGAAACGTAGATTTAATTTCTTTTTAAATATGAACATAGAGCTAGCAATAAAAAAAAAAAAAAAAAAAAAAGAAATTTAATATTTACACTTATCAACATCAGGTAAAAAGATTCGCATTTCCCTTTTACATTCTCTCTCTCTCTCTCTCTTAAAAGATAGATTGAATTAAAATGACGTTTTTGCAAAAAAAAAAAAAATTCCGTGGAAAATATTTTCCTAAATTTAGGTAAGCACATTTTTCGAGTGTTTTCGAATAAAACAAAAACAACAAACAAAAACAAAAACAAACGACGATCGTTTTATTACAAAAAAATTCTTTTTTCTTCTTCTTCTTCTTGTTATCGTTAAAAAAACTTTAGTCGTATCACAAAAACATTAGAGGGAAATAAATAAACACGTACGATATGTGATAATGACGTAAAATTGTTTGTTGCCACAACAACTACAATACATACAAACCTTTTCAATTAATAAAAAAAAAAAAAAAAAATGCCTTTTTTTACTTTAGGCACACGCCATTGACAGTGACGCATTTGTAAATAAATAAATAAATTTATTTATATAAATTAAAATTGATTAATAAACTATCAAATCAATAAATAAATCGATCGAATATTATTATCATCGATCAATTAAATTAAATAATAAAAAAAAAAAAAAATCGAATGCAACAACAACCATTACTCGAATCGAAAAATTAATTAAAATCATATTTATTCAAACAAACGTTTTATAAATAAATAAATAATAATAATAATAATAATTAAAACACGCGATTCAATTCAAATCGAATTTTTTCATATCGATTTGATGAATGTTCGAGTTCGAGTCGTTTCCCCCCCCCCCCTAAAATCGACGACAACAATTCCATTGTTGTTGTTACATTACAAAAAAAAAAAATCAAACAATTAAATTATTATTATTATTGTTGTTGTTATTTTTTTTTGTAACGGTTCGATGCAGTGAAAATGCATTTTTTTTTTTTTTTAACAACCATTATTATTATTATTTTTTAATCGTTTGTACGGGTACGAGATATTTTTTATTAGGGTAGGTCCGTTATAAATAATTTGACCTTAATTAATATCGAATTTAATCTTTTCTCTCTCTCTCTTAACTACAACCAAAAGAAAATATTTCAAACGTTTGAATGAATATTACAGAAAATTATAAAACAAACGATTTGTATTTTAACAATAAATTTAACAAACAAAAAAAATAAAAAATTACGTGTAAAAGTTATAAACAATTAAATTTAACGTTTGTTTGTTGTTTCGGCATTAAAACAAAACAAAAAAAAATTAATACGTCGATATTATGTCTAATTTTTTTTTTTCTTTCTCCTCATCTCTCGAGATCAATTTACAAAATTTTTTTTATCATTTATTTATTTATTTATTAAACAATAATTAATAATTAATCGGGTAAAATTTTTTTAACCGCCAATTAAGCATAAATTTTTCTTTTTTTTTTTTGAAAATTTATTATGACGAAGGAAAATTTCTATAAAAAAAAATTTAAATTTGAACGTAAGCATATTTTTTAAAGCTTTGATAAACATTATGAAATAAATTTTTATTTATTTATTAATTAATTAAATTGCAATTTAAAATAAATAAATAAATAAATAATAAAATTGCTGGCCTATGCGGCTAGACGTTTTTTTTTTTTTTTTTGTTTAAACTTTTACCGATATTGTTTTATGTATAAAAATTTTTTGTTTTTTTTGTTTTTCTCTTTATTAAAATCTTTATCTATCTAATAAATATATTATTATTATTATTTGAATCTTAATTAAATATATTATAAAGCAAACGATATAAATAATTTTAATGGATTAACAAAACGTTTTATGAAGGTTTATTTAAAAAAATGGCGACGAATAAGACAAATACATTTTCAAATGTTTGATCTCAAGTTGTAAATTAATCAATGTTAAAATTTTTTTTAGATAAAAAGTTATGTTACATTATTAATCCAAAGCTTTTGATATAATCTTGACACCAATAATCTTTATTTTAATCGAAACCATCTTTAATAATTTTAATTACAATCGATTTTTAATTAAAAACTCTTTCGTTCGATGTGGAAAATTTTTTTGTTATTATTTATTTAAAATGGCCGTTAATGATTTTTGTATTTTAAAATAGATTGATTTAAAGTTAACTAACGAGTCTAAGGTGTCGTTGGCATCTACTTTTCAAATCATCCATGAAATAACTTCTTCGACATGCGATTCATTTTCACATTGAAAAATTACGTGTTCACATGGTAAATACCACCATTTTTTTTTCATTTATCATGACTATACCAAACCGTTATTTGTTACAACATAAAAAATCATTACTTTTATTTTCTCTACACGATACGATTCTACACCAAGAAAGTTAAACGAAAAAAAAAATTACCCAGGCAAAATATTATTATTATTATTATTTACTTTCTAAAATTCTTATTGTCATAAAAGCCGGTGTTGTTGTTTTTGTTGTTGTTAAAAATGATAACACAAAGTTCAAAAAACTAAAATTATCAGGTCGTATCTTGCTTTAACTATACAATAATAATAATAATTGGATACTTATAACTAAATTATTATTATTCTTTTTCGAATATATTTTATTATGATGATTTTTCATTTTAAATTTTACTCGATTTTGTCATTATTTGCAGTAAAAAAAAAAAAAAAAAAAAAAAAAATTAAATTAAAAGCCATTAATTATATAAAAAGGCGTTTTCACATTATTATTATTATTATATATACTACCACAAAATAGTAAATAACAGTGATAAATAAATTGTTTATTGTTATTGTTAAACAATACAAACATGAGAATAATAACAAACAACGAGACTTGTAAATAATTTCTATGGTGGTATCATAACAAAATTTTTTTAGTTATTTTTTTAAATATTATTATTATTTTGTCGACAATGATGCCTGTAAAATAAATGACCCGGAAAATGATAAATAAAATGATAAGAAGCTCAACTTTGAAATAAATGAAACAAAAAAAAAAAAAAAAATTAACGGATGATGTTTTAATAAATAAATAAGTTATAAATAATTTTAATGGCGAATTTATGAATTGTACGAAATATTTTACTAGTTAAAAAAAAAAAAAAAAACGTTCGAATAGTTTTATTTTTTCCTTTTAATTTACGCATTTACCATCGAGAATATAATATCACGGTTGGGTCAAATTTACAACAACCGTTTGTATGAAAATGTAAACAGAAAGCTGGAAGTTAATTAAAAAAAAAAAAAAAGAAAAATTTCTTATCGCCATTAAAACAAAACCTCTAGCAACAACACACACACACACACACACACACACCTTTTATAAATAGATACATACATAAAAAAAATTTTTTTTTTTTTTTTTTGATTATTTTAATTAACCTTTGAAACAAAATTCAAAAGTTGAATCTATCTTTATTTTTTTTTTAAATTTATCTTATTGGTTTTTTATTTATAAAAAGGATTAAAAAAAAGTTTTTAAATTGTTTTAAAAAATTTTCTTTGTGACCGATAGAAAACAAAATAATAATTTAATGTCTATGTAAAGGTGCCAATATGAATATTTTTTTGAAAATTTCAATCTAATGTGTTTTAACACATTTGTAAATAATTGTTGTTCTTGTAGAACATGCATAATAACAACCCCCCCCCCTTATTAGGGTGAAAAAAATTTTAAATTAATTTACAGTCCATTATGGAAAAAAAAAAATGATTCGAATAACATTGATAGAAAAATAAACATTCAAATATCAGCAATAATGTTTAATAAAAATATTTAATGATAGTTTTTACATAATTTAATTGTATTTAGTATATTTTACCAAAAGTATTATTAATAATGATTTAAGGTATAATTTAATAAACATTACTCGAAATCAAAATAAATGATTAAGCTCATGCACTTGGTATTTTTTTTTTTCAATTCATTACCATATAATTAAATTAAAATTATTTATTTCCTTAAAAACATTATGTAATAATATAGTTTAATATGTGGTCATTTAATTTATGATATTAAAATTGTTCTATGACATAGGCAAAATAATTATTTTTTTGAAATTTGAAAACTCACAGTTAAGTTTCTTTGAGTGAATTTAAAAAAAAAAAAGGAAATGATAATAATAATGGTATTTGTTTTAAGGATATATATGAGATTGTCATTCAAAATTAAACTGTTATATAAATTAATAAAGCTTGTGTGAATTTGAATAAAATATTTGATGTGTAAGATTAAAATGAAATCAACGTACCTCTCACGAAAAGGAGTACTAAATAATGATACCGGTAATTTCTGCACTGAATTAACATTTTCGTGATCTTTCAAAGGAGTTATTGTTATGTCACTGTCACCAGGGCTATTTGAAGTTCTATCAGGAGTTGTATTTGATTTAGGTTTTGTTCTGTCACTTGTCAACGGAGTCACATCAATTTTTGAACAATTTTCAAGCACAGTATCCGATATGGTTTGATTATGTACTGCATTCGACCGGGAAAACAAACACATTTTTGTATCGCGATGTGTCCCATCTAATGATATATTAGATAAAAAAGTCAAAGCCGCAACTCTTCTACGCGAACTGGATTTTCGAACAGAAGTTGCCATCTCAAAGTCACAATACAAATTGAGGTAACATTCTTGCAGTCTTGTTTGTTTTCATTTACTTCACATCGATCATTTGCAGCCGACAAATAATACGCGAGTCAAAATAAATTCTTTAAGTTATTGATAATATAAAAAAAAAAAAAAACAATTTCTTTTTATTTATAATTTATTAATTCAAAATAAATTTAACGTACTTTATTATATTTTATAATTAAAATTAAAATTTTTTTTAAAATTCAACGTATTTTAATAAATCAAAAAATTATATAAGAATACTACTGGTTTAACTTATTTAACTGATTAATGTAATAGTTATATCTGTTTTAATTTTTTTTATTTTTTACAAGAATTTAATGATAAAAATATGTAAGGAAATTCTATGAGTATTAAAATTTAAATTAATAATAAAAAAAAGTCTTTCACTGTTTAGATTTGTGTTTAGAAATTTTAAAAATACAAATTACGCAATACTTTTAATACATGCATATTACATTAAAATTGTAATTTTAAAACGAAAAGGCGCAATTTCATAGAGTTTCTATCACAGCCTTTTAATATAATAATTATTTCAGTTCGGTTTTAGCAATGGCGGAATATGTGAGTGTGATATTCAAAGTTTAGTACCTTTTTACTGCGACTCTTTTTTATTTAATGTTTAATTAGTTTAAAATTTAACTTATTTTGTTTTTTGAAATGGAGACAAGTGCAGCCCCGGCTGCTAGAACTATAAGGTTTATGATGGAGGGCGTAGGGGCACGTGTTATTAGAGGCCCGGACTGGAAATGGGGTAAACAGGTAAGTTTAAAAGCATCAGTGAATCAGTTGTTGACAATATTATTAATTTTTTTTTATTTAACACATATTTAAATATGATTGCAAAAATGTATTTTTAGAATCTGAGAGTCAGGAAAATTCTTTTTTTACTTTTGCCTGCAAATAACGTTTTTTTTTGTTAAAAATAAATTATTTTAGATTTGTGTTATAACTTTGAGAGTAACAGGTTGCAAGTGCCTTGATAAGTTTTTTTTCAACTTTAAAAATTTTTTTAAAATACTTTATTAATTATTATTTTAATTCAGAAAATATATTTTTTATCAAATAGTTTAGTATTATATATGTTTTACTGTCATCATTGTTTTATCAATAAAAATAATGAAATTTGTCATTTTTTGTAAAGTTTACAATCGTTTATTTTACTTTAAGTTAAGGTTATTTGCTAATTCACTTGGTAATTAAAAACCTCAGTTTTCAAGATAGAATTTTAATAGTTATTAAGTAACACTAATAACCATTTTATTTCGATAAATGTATTTTAATATTCTTTCTTATGTTATTGTAAATTTTTTTTAGTTGTAATATCGCTGTTAATAAAAGCTTAAATTATTATTATTATTAAGTTTTTGAGTTATCGTTTTTAAAAGTTTTAATGGAATATATAAAAAACAAAGAGAGGTCATCAACATAACAGCTTTTACATAGCTTAACAGTTTTATTTAAAAGTTTATGTATTTAGGAAAAATTAAATTTATTCGGTTTAATGTATGTTAGGTGTATAAAATTTATTTTCATATGTGCAATCATAAATTTCAAGAATGTTTTACATAACTATATATATATTTATTAAATTATTTTCTTAAAATAATATATGTAATGAATAAAAGTTTTTGTATTTAAATAAATCTAAAAGTTTAATGTAATAATTTAAAGTTGAGCTTTTTACTCTTCTCAATTTACTCATTTAGATCATTATTTAATTTAAGTCTCCTATATAAAACTCAATTTAAAATGTTTCCAAAGGTCATATTATTTTAATTGCGTCTGTTCAATGCAAAAAATTTGCCTTTATTATTTATTTATTTATTTTTTTTTTTTTTATGTTAAATTTTATTTTAGGATGGAGGTGAGGGTCACGTTGGTACAATCAGAAACTTTGAATCTCCCGAAGAAGTGGTCGTTGTTTGGGACAATGGCACGGCTGCCAATTATCGTTGTTTGGGAGCATACGATCTTAGAATTTTAGACAGTGCACCTACCGGAGTTAAACACGATGGGACCATGTGCGATACGTGTCGTCAACAACCGATTTTCGGTATTCGGTGGAAGTGTGCAGAGTGCGGAAATTACGATTTGTGTTCTATTTGTTATCACGGAGACAAACATCATCTTCGGCATAGATTTTACAGAATAACGACTCCCGGAAGTGATCGCGTTTTAGTCGAGCCTAGGCGTAAGAGTAAAAAAATAGGTATTCGCGGAATATTTCCCGGTGCACGCGTTGTCAGAGGAGTAGATTGGCAGTGGGAAGATCAAGACGGTGGAAACGGTCGCAGAGGGAAAGTAAATGAAATACAAGATTGGTCCGCAGCCTCACCTAGATCTGCTGCCTACGTCATTTGGGATAATGGGGCAAAAAATTTGTATCGTGTCGGTTTTGAAGGAATGGTTTGTACTTTCAAAAATATTTAAATACTGTTTACTAATCTCTTGAACAAAGTTTTTGGATTTTCAGTTATGAAATGCAGTTGTTAGTTTAAATTTAAAAAATAATAATTAATAGATGCATTTCTTTTTGCGATAGGCCGATTTAAAAGTAATAACAGACGCCAAAGGTCAAACTGTGTATAGGGATCATTTACCTTTATTGGGTGAACAAGGTCCAGGAAGAACTGGACCGCATGGACTGCAAGTAAACGACCAAGTCAACGTTGATTTGGAGTTAGAAATAGTTCAGTCTCTTCAGCACGGGCACGGAGGCTGGACGGATGGAATGTTCGAGTGCTTAAGTACTACCGGAAAGATAGTCGGTAACGTACAAAAAAAGATTTAAAAAACTTTGAAAACTTTCATCACGTTAAAAGTTTTGAACGAAATCAAAAATTTTTTTTTTGGTTTTCAATTAAATTTACAGGGATAGATGAAGATCATGACATTGTTGTGTTGTATCCGAGTGGCAATCGTTGGACATTTAATCCGGCTGTGTTAACAAAAGTAGCTGTAGCTCCTCCCAGTGCATCCGCCAACGAAAATCAGCAGCAATTTGCTGTCGGTGACTTGGTTCAAATATGCAACGATTTAGAAAGAATAAAAATATTACAGAGAGGGCATGGAGAGTGGGCTGAAGCTATGGCTCCGGTAAGCAGTCAGTCAAACTTATTTTTAACTGATAAAATTTGTAAACAAAATTTTTTTTTAGAAAGTGTACTACTACCTAATGCATAAAATATTGTCAGTACTAATTTGGATTCCAGAATAAATTTTTTTAAAATTTACTTGACTTGAAAAAAAAAAAAAAAAAAAATCTCCTAGTTTAACAAAATCGTAGTTTTTCTTATATAATCTCTCATTACTTAAAGTTTTCATAAAAATGTTTGTTTAACTTTCTTATCTTTTTATATTAATTAAAGGTTTTTCAATTACTGAAAAAAATGTTATTTATCAGTTAGTTCAATTAATCAAATCGTAACGATTTTAGTCAAAAATAATAATTTACACATAAACAATGTCACTTAAATATTTAACGTACTAAAAAGTTTATAAATTTTTTTTTTTTATTTTTCTAAAATCCACGTTCGTTAAATTATTAATTTTTTTTTTTTTTTTTTTACATTGCGTTTTTAGACTCTTGGAAAAATCGGTAGAGTTCAACAAATTTATCACGATAACGATTTGAAAGTTGAGGTTTGCGGTACGAGTTGGACGTATAATCCTATAGCTGTTACTAAAGTTGCTTCAAGTGACGGAACGGTTCCCGGAACATCCAGCGGAGGTAAAATAACACGATTTCAAATTCAGTCAATCGTTTCGGTGTTGTTTGATTTTATTACGGTCGTAATAATTAATTTTCAGAGCGTTTAAGCGCACTCCTCAAGAAATTATTCGAAACTCACGTGTCGGGAGATGTCAATGAAGAATTAGTCAAAACAGCCGCGAACGGTGATTCTCAAAAATGTGAAGAATCACTTAAAAGAACCGATGCCGACGTGAATGGCGTATTTGCCGGACACACCGCTCTTCAAGCTGCTAGTCAAAATGGTCATTTAGAAGTTATTAAAATTTTATTACGTCAGGATGCAGATGTTGAAATCGAGGTAGTTGGAAAAAAAAATTTTTTTTTTTTTATTTTATCGTACGAAAAGAAACAAATCATTCGTATAATCTCGGATGAATTTATTAGAAACCCCAAAAATTTATTTATTTATTTTATAAATGTGGATAAGTCAATGAATAACTTATTTAAAAAATTTTTTAAACCAGGTTATTAAAAGATTTAAATTATTTTTTGTAGTATTTGAATGATGAATGGGATGTTTAGCTGTAATTCTTTATGTTTTACGTATTGTAAACATTTTTTGGTCATTTATCGACGTTTATTTTACGTTTGATACATGAAACAATCGTCTATTCGGAAATTTCTTTTTTTTTTCTTCCTCCATATGTTTCCTCGTTTAAACAACCAGCTGTCGGCTTCTTTAGTGTTACACTTATAAACAACTTAAAACGTAAAGTAAAATCGAATTTTTTTATCATGAAATCATTACGGAAAGAATGGGTTATCCGTCGTTTCATTTATTAAAATGCATCTCTGAAGATGTCGGCTAGTGAGGAAAAATTTAAAAAAAAAAAGCACAATAATAATTTTCAATGTTTCGTACGTTTGTTTAAGGACAAAGATGGCGATCGAGCGGTGCACCATGCAGCTTTCGGTGACGAACCCGGCGTTATGGAATTACTTGCATCCGCGGGTGCGGATTTAAATGCTAGAAACAAACGTCGACAAACGGCACTACACATTGCTGTTAATAAAGGACACGTTGGAGTTGTCAAAACGTTGTTGGAATTAGGTTGTCATCCTTCCCTACAGGTAGGAAACGTAAATTTTTTATTAACCTTTAACCCTCAAGTAAAAAAAAAGGTTTTTTCCCTTTTGGTAAAGGTATATATATATATCGACGACGTTGCACAATGGAAACGGTTTTGTAAATAACGGTTTGCACAATTACCATCAATTATGCGTTTCATATCACACTTATTATTATTTCAAATCGAAAATAATTACATTATCGTAGGAAAATTAATAACAAACAAATCAAAAAACTTTTTACTTTAATTTTACCGAAAAGTTTGTTGTTGCAAAATTTGCCGAAGGAAGGATGAAAGGGGATGAGGGGGAAGGGGAGGGGGAGAGGAGAGAGGAAAAAATAAAAAATAAATAATCGGGAAAAGAAGTTTTCAATATTCATCAAAAATTTTATCTCGTTCGAAACATGACAAAAACAAATTTTTTAACTTATTTAACTAGTAAATAAAATACTACGGGTAAAATTTCTTTCTCTCTCTTATTTCTTTCTTTCTTTTGTTATTTTTGGCATTTCAATTTTTATTAATAATAATAATAATAATAATAATATGCTCTTATTAAGTTTTGTCTTTTAATGAATGTTATTATTATTCTTGAGATTTGTACGACAGCGAGCGCAGAGCTCTTGGGAAGAAAGTCTATTAGTTTTAATAAAATCGTGACAGATGGAGGGATAAAAGTGTGTTTAAAGGGGGGAAGGGGGAGGGGAGGAAGAAAAAAAGGAAAAAAAAAAAACTCACAAGGAGCGTTTCATTTGATTAATTGTTGTGCAATTAATTAATTAGACGAGAATTTTCTTTTCTTTTATTTTTTTCCTCTTGATTTATTAAGTTAAGAAAATTTTTCTTGCGTTTTCTCCCTCTCTCTCTTTCCCTTTATTTTATTTTTTTTTATTTAAATTGATTTTCAAAATTTTTTTTTCTAAAAGGTTAAAAGAGGTAGATGGAAAGAAAAGGAGGGGTGGGGGAGAGAAAAAAAAAGGCTCAAGTGTTGTATTTAAAACGTGAAGTCAGGCCTAATCAAATTTTATGTATATATATATATATGTATATCTTAACGTAAAATGAGATTTACGAGAAATAAAATTATAATTCCGACGAAATTTTCGCGTAATGTAATTACAAAAGTAGACACATAGACGAATAAACTTTTTAATTTAAATATTGCGAGCGCTCTTCCTCTCTCTCTCTCTCTCTCTCTCTCTCTCTCTCTCTCTCTCTCTCTTTTCCCCGTCTCTCGTTCTTTTTCTCATAATTAATAAATATAAATTTTGTGTGTGTGTGTGTGTATCTGCAAAACTTAATTATTATTAATATTAATTTTTGTACGCGTACTTGCAAAAAAAAAAAACATACATACATACATAAATAAACGTGGAATTATGTTATTAATTAAGCGTTGAGGGATTTAAATTTTCCTTAAGGGGGTGGGTTGGGGGTGCGTGCGTGCGTTCGTGTAGGCGCAAGATGAAAATTATTATTTTTTTTCAGAATTCAACGTATCGAAAAGTTAAATCATTTTTTTTTTTTTTAAAGGTGCGAGAATTTTTTTTTTTTTTTATTTCCCAAAGGAACAAAATATTTGAAAACGTCGGAAAATAAAATTTGAGGGAATGGAAAAGTTCAAAAAAAAAAAAAAATTAATTTTCAAATTTTAGGAATGGAAAAAAAAAAAAAAAATTGATCAAAGTAAATAAATTTGAAATTTTTATTTTTTTAAAAACACCGTGAAATTGAAATCAGATGAGAAAAGGGCGGCGGAAGCGGAAACATTTCGAAAATGATAAAAAAAAAAGAAAATTTTTTTTTCCATTGGAATATTCGATGCGTGGTACACACCTCGGGGGGGTAAATTTTTTTTTTTTTTTTTTTTGTGAAAATTGATAATTTGCGGGAAAAGAATTCTAATGAGAAGGAAAGTGAAAAAGAGGGTCGAAAGAGCAGGGCAGAAAAGGAAAGGGTTAAAAGGGAGAAGGGGGAGGGGAGAAAAAAAACAAATTTTCGATTCCAAATAAATAAATAAATAAATGAATGAATGAATGAATGAATAAATAAATCGTTTGAAATAGATGGGAAAAAATTTTTTTTTTTTATTTTTGTTTTAAATATAACGAATCGTAACGCAAATGAAATTTTTTCGTTTGTAAATGAAAATAATAATGATAATAATAATAATAATAATAATAATAATTTAAATTTTGAATCATGCGTGACGTAATTTGAGTTTTTAAAAAAAAAAAAATTAATTTCCATGAATTGTTTTTTTTTTTTTTTTTTTTTTTTTTTTTTTACTACTCGGGGGCCCTGGAATTTTTTTTTTGTAAAGGAAAAAGAGGAAACGTTCAAAATAATTTCTAGAAAAATCTTTCGATTTATGTTTTTCGAATTTATGATATTATTTCGAAAGCCCCATCATCGGGGGGGAACTTTGAAAAGTTTGAAAAGGAGGAAAAGTTTTCAACAAAGGAAAAAAAAAAAAAAAAAAATTACGTCGAAAAAAATTATTTATTTATTTATTTATTATTATTATTTTTCGAAATTTGATTTCATACGTAAAAAAAAAAAAAATAACGGGGGGTTAAAATCGTTTCAAAAAGTTTTTTTTATTTTTATTTATTTATTTATACCTACGTAAAACAGGAAGTGATCGATTATTGTTAATTATTTTAAACGCGCAGATTAGAATTAAGTAATTAATCATCACGATTTGAAATTCCCGCCAAAAAAAAAAAAAATTTGCAGATGTTTGCAAGAAAACATCCGGTTCCGCCTCCCCGTTTTTTTTTTTTTGTTGATTTGGGGGGATATTGTAATAATTTCGATCGGAACGAAAAACGATTGACGTTTTTTTTTTTTTTTTTTTCTCTCGGTTGGTGGTAGAATTGATTTAACCGAAAATTTGTCGAAACGGGAAGAAGAGATAATAATAATAATAATGGAAAATTTAACCGGAAACACTTTAATAGTTTTCACTTAGAAGAAATTGAAAAAAAAAAAAAAATTTTTTTTTTTTTTTGTTTAACGAGTCGAATTTAAAATTATAAATCATTTAATTATTCGTTTTAAATTTCTTAGAATTTAATAATTTTTTTTGGTTGTTTTGGTTGTTGTTGTTGGTGCGAAACCGGAAATAATAAAAAATAAAAAAGTGTGAAAAAAAAAATTTGATAGTCGTTTATATTTTTCAATCATAATGAATGAATGAACGAACGGTAACAAAAACAAACAGGAAGCTGTCGATGTTGTTTTTTTTTATTTTTTTATTCGGTTTAAATGAAATGAAAGGAAAGGAAAGGAAAAAAAGGGGGGGGGGGGGGGGTTCGTTTTTAGGGTTTTTTTTTTTTTTTTTTTTTTTAAATCAATCAGAGAAGAATAATTTCATTAATTAAAGATCCCTTTTTTTTTTTTTTTTTTTTTTTTATTTGTCGTAATTATTTTACCATCGCGTCTCGCGTTTGACAAGTTTAAAAAAAAAAAAGAGGAAGAAAGGAAAGGAAAGGAAAAAAAAAAAAAAAAACAAATATTAGTTTACAACGAGATAAAATTTCATGAATGAAAAGTGAAAAAAAAATTAATAATAATAATAATAATAACGGTTCGTCGCTTTCATCGAAAATTTTTTTTTTGTCGTGTTTCGATTGATTGATTAATTTTCGATCAGCCATTGTTATTTTTTTTTTATTTTTTTTTTTTTATAATTGATGCCGGTGTTGTAAATTAAAAGTGATTTTAATTTGAAAAATTTTTTCTTTTATTATTATTATTATTGTTGTTTTTTTTCCTCTTCGCACGAGAGGAGCATCCCCACGTGGGAGGATTTGAGTAGGTGGGTTTTTTTTTTTTTTATTATTCAGGATTATAATTCAGTTTTCGAGAGGACAGGGAGGGAGAAAGAAAGAGAGAGAGGGAAAACGGTTTTTGATTGATTTTGATCAAACAAATTATTATTATTATTATTGGTTTTTTTCATTCTTTCTCGATAAAAGGAAAAAAAAAAACTCGAAAAAAGGGAAAATTTAAAACTACGACGAAAAAGAAAAAAAAAAAGTCGCGATAAAATTCAAAGAAATTGTGGTGGCGGTTAATGCGTGTATAAAAAAAAAAAAAGCAAAAACCGCGTTTTTCGTTTTGTACGCATTTAAAAATAATTATACACAGTTGGAACGAACACAAGTATTTAAAATTTAGAAGTAATTTATCATGTAATAAAAAGGAAGAAAGAAAGAATAAAACAATAGACGATAAATTAGTGCAACAATACCGTGTGTTGTTCATAAATTTAATTCTCTCGGTGATATTTTTGAATAAATTAAGTAATTAACAGAAAAAAAAACAGTTTCTAATTAAACATTCGAAAAGAAAAATAAATAATAAAGAATTAAATAAAATAAATAAATGAATAAATTTTTTTTCGGGAGGGAGGGAGGGAGACTCGAGGGGAAAATTGTTTTGCGTACCAAATTGCACGCGCGTACGAATATTTTTTTTTTTTTGTTTTACCAAATTATATTTAAGTGTTGTCGAGTTGCGTTTAAAAAAAGAGAAAAAAAGTTTTTTTTTTGTTTATCTCTCTCTCTCTCTCTCTTTTTTTTATGGAGGGAAAGGGGGAGGGGTGGAAATTTTTATAAATAAAAATTATTAACTTTTCTCCATTGGGTTTTTTTTTTTTTTGAAAAAAATAAATTTGAAGAGGAAAAAAAGAAAAAATTTTTAAATTAGGTTAAAAAACCTAAAAAGTGATGAAAAAAATAAATAAATAAAAATGTGTTCGTGTGTGTGTTTTCTCTCTCTCTCTTTCTTTTTCTTTCTCTTTCTCTTTCTCTCTATGGAAAAATCTGGAAAAGTGAAAAAAATAAAATAAATGTTTGGAAAAGGAATGTGAAAAAAATAAAAACGGATTGAAGAAAATAACTGACACAAAAAAAAAAATAAAAATATATATTTATTTATTTATTTATTTTTCAATTGATGGTTAGATGAATTTGCTATGAAATGATGAGAAGAAGGAAAATTGAAAAATATTTAGGAAAAAGAGAGAGAGAGAGAGACAGACAGAAAGAGAGGGAGAGAGTAATTAAAAAAAAAAAAAAAAATTGCCGGGAATGAACGAGCGTTTCTTAAATGAAC